TGCAGAAGACGAAAAAGAAGAAGGAGAAGAAGAAGAGAAGAAGATTGAGAACGAGAGAGACTGAGGGGAGAGAGAGAGAGAGAGAGAGAGGGTCATTAAGCACTATGACAGCCTTTTAGCACCATCTTCCATAGCAGGCATCAACATTAGCATGGAAAGGCATCTAACCGAATCCTAAGTATGTTTTAAGGATCGAATATTGCGGGTTAAGCCCAAACAAGATGAACTTCAGCAGAGCCTCCTAAAAATATACGCATGCAAAAGAAAAAGAGGAAGAAAAGAAAAAAAATAAAAAGGAGAAATACTGAGGAGGAGAGGGAGAGAGAGAGAATGGGCCACTAAACACTATGTCAGTCTTCTATCGCCACCTCCCCAATGAGGCATGAACAGTGGCAGGAAAAGGCATCAAACTAAAGTCTGAATACTCAGAGGATGCGTTAAGAATCGAGTACTATGAGTTGAGCCCAAACAGGATGAATTTCAACAAAGTCTCCTAAGACTAATCTAAACAAGAAGAGTGAGGTGAGAGGTAAGAAGAGAGGATAGATGGAAGAGTGAGAGGATGACGTAGGATTAAGGGAAAGAGAAATTTAAGAGGAAAAGAGAGAGAAAGCGAGAGAGAGAGAGATTGAAAGGGAGGGATTAAGAAAGAGAGAGAGAGAGAGAGAGGGAGATTAAGAGAGAAGTGACTGGGAAAAGGGGGGGGAGGGGTTAAGAAAGAGAGAACTTTAAGGAAGAAAGAGAGATCGAGAGGGAGAGAAAGATCAAAAGAGAGAGATTGGGAGAAGGGTATTAAGGAAGGGAGAGAACTTTAAGGGAGAAAGAGAGATTTAAAAGAGAACGATGCTAAGATAGTTTGAGAGATCGAGAGAGAGAGAGAGATTTGGAGATTGAGAGAGATTAAAGGAGAGGGATTGAGAAAGAAAGAAACTAAGAGAGACATTTAAGAGAGAAAGAGAGAGATTGGGGAATTGAGAAAGAAAGAGAGAGATTGGGGAATTGAGAAAGAAAGAGAGAGAGATTATGGGAGAGGGATTGAGAGAGAAAGATATTAAGAGAGAGAGAGAGATATTAAGAAAAAAATAGATATTTAAGATAGATTAACGGAGGAAGAGAGATTAAGAGAGAAAGGGATTGAAAGAGAAAGAAAAAAAAGAAAAAGATAAAAGAGAGAGATTGAGAGAAAGATAGAGAGATTTAAGAGATATAGATTAAGGGAGGAAGAGAGAGATTAAGGGAGAAAAATAGAGAGTTTGATAAAGATTTAAGAGAGAAAAGGGAGAGAGATTAAGAGATAAAGGGGGAAAGAGAAGGAGAGATTGAGAGAGAAAGATTAAGGGACGAAGAGAGAGAAATTGAGATAGGGATTGAGAAAAAGAGAGAGAGATTGAAATAGTAAAAGAACGAAAGGGAGAGTTTCAGGTCCGAGAGGTGGCCTGGACCCTTTCATGAGAGAGAGAGAGAGAGAGAGAGAGAGAATAAGGAGGGGAGAGAAAGAGTGAAAAGGGAAAGAGGGTGGGCCTGGGCCAGCCGCCCTACAGAAGAGAGAGAGAAGTGGGTGGGCTCGAACAGGCGGCTTAGGCCGCTCCTGTGGAAGAGAGAGAGAGGAGGAGAATGAGGGGGAGAGAGAGAAAAAATAAGAGAGAAGAAGAGAGGAAGAGGGAGAGAAGTAGAAAGAGAGGGAAAGAGAGAATAGGGCGGGCCCAAGTCAGCGGCTTGGGCCGCCCCTACAGGAGAGAGAGAGGGGGAGAACAAGGGAGAGATAGAGAGAGAGAAGAAGAGAGAAGAAGAGAAGATGAGGGAAAGAGAGAAATGAGAGAAGGGAGAAAAGAGAGAAAGAAGATAGAGATATAGAGAGAGAAGCGATCAACCTAGAGGAAAGTAGATGGCTCGAACCCCTGTGTTAGGTTTGGTCCCGATTTGTCCTTAAATGTGCCTTGAGAGTGGCTAAGACTTGATAAAGAGGGTTAGGACCAATGGACTAGGTGGGTTAAGTATATAATATTTGGGTTGAGGGGTGAAGGGCTTAGATTAGCTAGAGAGTATGGGGTTAAGTAGGGACTATGATCTAATGTCTAAGGTTTGTGGTCTAGGGAGTATGGAAGCTAGGTGGGGACTATGGATTAGTGTCTATGGTGATCTAGGGAGTATGGAAGCTAGGTGGGGACTATGGATTAGTGTCTAGGGTTTGGTGGTCTATGGGTAATTCTCAAGTAGGCAAAATATTCTTTCTCCTCTCTCTTAGGTTAGAAGATGAAAGCAATAAGGCAAAAATAAACTTGATCTCACTATCTTTCAATAATATCTCCAACTTAGAGCTACAAAAAGACATACAGTGCTTATATATAATCTCCACAAAATAAGGGTGGATGACCAAAACAATACCACATTGATAAAAAAATATATTTTTTTAAATTAAAAAGAAAATTTCATTTTGGGTAAAAATGATTGTTTTGCCCCTCCCAACTTCCATAGAAATGACAAGACCATCCATCCAATGGGGCTTCTTACCTTCCTTATGGTTTGGGACCATTTTTTGTGCTTTCTGGTGAGCTTCTGAAAAAATGAACACCGTAGAAGTGTCGGGCTTCTCAAAACAATCGATTTGATATAAACTTTTAGCCTTGAAAAGAGTTTTTGACCTTAATTCGAAAATCCTACCAAAACTCAATCTTGAATTTTTTATCTTTCAATCTTACTTGTTGCACCATATTTTTCGTCACTTTCTTCATCACAAATCGAAATGGGAAGTCGTTGTGATCATTTTGCAACGAAAACCCCTCGATTTGGTGTCTGTTTGATCACTTTTGTAATTTTGAAAGTCGCCAAAATATGGGATTCTGGCACCAGAAAATGTGCATTTTTTTAGCCTTAATAGGATGCCTTCCCACCCTCCAATTTGAATAAGCAAGTATTCTAAACGAAGCCCTTCGAGTCACGGTCGTAATGCATCTAGCCTCGAGGTCATAGGGTTTCGAGATCTCGAGATATAAGTCTTAGAGTGAGTGCATATTCTGTTGGAATTTCCTGCATTTTGGGCATTTTTAGTGAAATTATCTCTAGGATTTCTTATCGTCTAGGCGTCCTCATGGTACGTGCCACCCTTCAAAGCGTAGATCTCGATAAGAGGAACATGTTCGAATTTAGAATCGATACGCTTCAAGAAGAGTGACAACCATGACTCAAATTTTTTCCCATTTTTGCATAGCACAGTTATTATTTATAGTAACTGGTTCATGTGTGTTAATGTGAATAGTGAAAATCTTGCCATTTATGGAAAATATGACCTAGAAAGGTCGAATTGAGCTGAAATTTGACGTGGACTGTTTTCGACCTTTTGAATCCACTGGTGGTGGTCACATAGTTGCCAGAGACCTCTAGAATAAATTTCTAGCTATGGTGCACCATAGTCAAGCTAGGAACTTTAGTTGAAAACTAATTTTTACTCGCTTTTCCCTATTTGCGTCCGAATAGAATAGAACTGGCAGGGCATCCTTAGATCATCTTAGGAGACTCGTATGCTTTGATTTGAGGCTGATCAAACATCATTATCAAAGCTATTAAAAAATAAGGCTTATTTGGTCAGGGTTTCTATAGTCCACAAGCATTTTTGATACCTGCAGGTTTAGGTTGCCATTGGCTTCTATTTTATTCGCATCAAGGATACAAGTGCATCAAATACATCATACAACACATGACACTAGATTCTTAGTAGAAAGCCGTGACACTCATTGCTTAGAAAATATGGATAATGGATGTATATTTGGGGAAAAAATTCCCTGCATACCGTTTATTCTCTTTCTTTTGAACAGACGATCTTCATGGGTTGAGCAAACTCCCATCCTACGCTTGAGCATAGGATATCTTTTTCCTAGAAAAAGTTTATATAAGGTTGCAACCTTAAACTATAGAAGTATGGTGCGCCTCTAAGATACTATATAAAGATTGATTTGAAATTAAAAAATCTTCCAATTGATCATCTTGATCTCGATATGTATGGATATAAAGAAAAAAAAAATTTAAAATACGAAAAATAATGTATCTCAGAATAAGTTATCCAAATTGTTTGTTTTTTAAATTTTGAAGTGTTTATAGAACCACTTGATCAGCACTGTTTTTAAATTTTAAAATTTTATAACTAGGGCTAAATATGGATTTTTAAGTCATCGTAAAGTTTTTTATACCAAAAATACATCTTCAAACAAAACTTAGATGTACACTTCGCTTATAAGGTGGGGCATCTTATACAAAACGGGCATCTTATACAAAACCTTGCCGATCAACTCACCTGTAAACGTGTAGGCCCCCCTAAAATTCATCTTAAAGATAGACTTTAGATCTATATTTTTTTTTAGAAATTCATGAGATAAGCCAAATATGAAAAACAAAATGAAATTTGAAGTTTTAAAAGCATTTTTTTAAGAATTATTTTGGCCACCTTGGGTGCCTTCTTTTTCTCAACGTCCATCTTAAGATGGACATTGGACTCATGGACAACTTTTCCTGCGTGTATGAAGCTAATAATAGGTTTAGACCCAAAATAATTAATAATTTTAGTCTTCCTCCAACAGTCTAATTTGGTGGATGATTGAAAATGCATCTTACTATTTAAATTTTAATTTTTTTCTACAAATCAATTTAATATAGAATTTTAGGCATACGCAACCATCACATACAGTATAAAAATCTCCAGAAAGTGAAAATGATTAGATTGCCTCCTTTTTTTTAGGGTAGTTTGATCATTGTAAATTGGATAAAATATTTGTTTGATATTTTTCTAGTGCACCCTATTATTTAACGCGTCCAAAATTTTACCTCAAACCAATTTGTAGTTAAGAGATCAAAATTTAAGTAGTAACTTGTAACATATACTTTCAACCATCCGATCAAAATCAGACAGCCGAAAGTATGTCCTAAACTGCTACTTATTTTCGGTCCAGACTTATTATTAGCTTTTTCCTATGTGTGTGTGTGCACGTGCCTACATGGATAGATACGTAGATAGATAAATACATATTTCTCAAATTTATAAAAAAAAAACACACACACACACCCAAAGTAATCAAGGGCTTCCAACCCCAGCCAAACTACAGTAGGCTCCAAAAGTCGATTGCACAATCACTGCCTGAAAAGCTGTCAGATTCTATTCCTCCTGGCATACGTGGGGACAGTGTTGGATCTATGCTGAAGACTCCATTTACTTCCGGATGTTTACTGTTGTCTGTTGGAGGCAAGTGAACTAGGGAGGGGAGAGTGACCGATGGGTTTCAGCTAATATTAGTCCACTCCCGGCATATAAATGCAATGTTCATTCAGAACCATCTCATTAGAAGCCAGGGAGGGGCTGCTGTACTCAACGAGTAGACATCATCTCTCTCTTTCTTTCTCTCTCTTGCATTCCACATGAGTAAACATCATATATATATCTCTCTGTCTGCTGAGAAAATTGCCATTTAACACCCTGATTAGAGGGGAGGGAGAGGGACCCGGGTCATTTAGATACAAGAAATTCAATAATCAAGGGCAAATAGAAACCCAGCAAATATAATGATCTCTAATCAATGATAGCCTGCTTGCCTAATGCTTGCTTTAACCTCATCAGGCCAAAACCATATACCTCACGTTTGCTCAGGAAACACTTTCTTGAGGAAGTTGAGAAAACGTTCTGAGTACAACTTTGGCTCTACTGCAGATATAGACAAAGGATCAAACTGCAACGATTTGTAAGCATGCTCGAGTTTCTTCTTTAAATTATATTCCTGTAGTATATCGATAATACCCAGATAGAGGACCACATCATAGACCTCAAAGAGATCCATCTCCAACGAGCCTTCCGCATCATGCTGAAGCTTCCGGTTGGCTCGTGCTGGCATGTTTACTCCTAGCTGAACCCGCAGCCTACACAAGCAAGCTACGGATCATTATAACAAAAACAAAATCAAATAGTTAAGAAAGTTATCTAACAGGATTCACATGCCCTACCGAATGTAAGTTAAAGGTAGCAAAAAATTATTCACTCGCCCTAGAGATATTGTCTTTGTTTCTGAAATCAAACAAGAAGCAGAGAGATCTTGTGTGCATGAATATGCATATATATTTACACATGCACAAGGCCAGTACAAGGGACTAGATGCACAAATGATTCGATGACTAGAGATAAAAGGAAGAAGGTATATTATAATTCCGAAATGTGAAGCGGGGCAAATTTATACATTTTGGAGCTGGAAGAAGGTATATTATAATTCCGAAGCATGAAGTGGGGCAAATTTATATGTTTTGAAGCTAGAACAAGGGAAAGTATTTACCATACACAATCATGCATATGGTATAGCATACAAGGAGGGGAATCCAAGAGACTTTCTCAAGAGTGTAAACCATATATCCTGTGTAACTTTTACAATATAAGGTGGACTGTGAAGATGCATCCACCATTCCTTCTCAAGATGGACTGTGAAGATGAATTGTAGTTCCATCAGAAGATTCAGTAAGATGCCACATATAAGCATTACATACCATACACTAGGTTTGTGTTTTTCACTTTCCCTACCAAGAAACTTTCTATTGGATATGGTAAAGCTCTGATCCACGTGGAAATTCAAACCTGAGTGCAACAGGAGAAAAGCTAAAGCCATGTGAACCTGGAAGACATGCTGCGAGAACAAAAGGGCCCCGATTGACAATTTCAGGAATTGATTTGCAATAAGGTGCTGTTTTTAGTAATTTATGAATTATCCAATTTGAAAGAGACTAGCGTATCGAAGCTGGGATATTACAGCATCAGCATGCCATTCACAAAATCATTCACAAACCGTATTGATACTGCAAAGATATGAATCAAACCTTCCCATGCCAGGCAGTAAAAGATCAACTTCCTCATCACCCACAGCCGGTGCTCTCAATGTGCTTCCTCGAATGTGGGAGCCAGGTGTAGTGCTAACTGCATTTGGCTCATGGGCAACTAATAATAAACCTCTTGGTGGGATTGGGAGCTCGCCTTCATGACATACATTCACTGAAAATCAAATAAAAATGTGATAGGGTATATGTTACAACCAAACTGACATGATTACTAATTTAATGGAAGTAGAAAGTGTGTGTAACAATAAATTAATAACAAATATCCTAATAAAGGTCAGGTAAACATGGCCAACTCCAACACATAGTGATCATTCATATTGAGTACATTATAAATATGTGACTTGGTTTTTCTTTTTTGGACATCAAGGGTATTGTAAAATCAGCCTTCATTATCTAGTCAGAAACATCATGTCCAGAGGATCAAACTTGAAGAAAATAACATATTTCTCCCAATAAACAAGCTAAAATTCCATAAATACTTGATTTATTATTGAAACTCAAATATATAAATACTTGATATCCTACTAAGAAAAATCACATATACATCTAGTCCCAAAAGTTAGCCCTCTGTGATCTGTGATCTGTATTACATTGAGCTCCAAAAGGGCGACTCATATTAAGCCGAGATTTGAAAGGCCTTTCGCTTCAACAATTAGACCTGGAAGCACAAGATGCTTTTGCTATTTTAGAGGTACTTAACGGGTGTAGAAAATCCAAGATGCGATCCAGTCGTGACGAGAAGAACCCCATGATACAACCAAGCTCAGTGAAGCACCATGTAGGCTCTATGAGTTGTATGCTCGAGAAAGCCGATGAAGAACACAATCTCTTGTTGATTTTCTCTTGAAAAGATCCAGCCTGAGACCAGCCTTAATTTGGTCCAAGTTTGATAAAAAGCCACAGTAAATTTCAAGTTATAAAGGTTTTCTGGTTAACTGCTGCAAATAGTCACAGTGTATCAAACGAGCTGAAAATGAAACAGAAAAGAACTTGAAAACTGATACTGGATGGGGTATACATAGACAAAGTTGGATAATCATGACAAAAAACTAGTGGTCATTAAAACGGAGGACATTATGCGTCAACATGTATCATGAGGGAGTAACAAATTCAGAAAACCCAGTAAAGCTCATGGTCGGTGAAGAGTCAGAGAGTAACTGCAGCAAAAGGTCGTTAACCATAGTTACCATGACAAAAGGTCGTCGAGCACCATTACCTGAGGCCACTGATCAGGGGACACTATCAGCCACAAACAAAAGTCGCAAAACTTTATTAACTGTAGTAAACAGTTAGATCTTTCTGAGAAAAGCTCTAAGCAGGCTCATGGACTTAACCGCAGTAAGAAATGCAACTACACATTGTCTTAACCACGGACCTCAACCAAAACCTCAGCCACCACTGGGCTCGCCAACCACGTGAGTGTTTTAAGCATGCACACAATATGAAAAGCACCCAGAAAGCTCTGAATGTCTCTTCTTCAAGGCCCCTATAAGGCTTAGGAAATCTCCCACTTATAAAACCCTTAGAAAAGCTTGTCTCTAGGCAATGTAGGAGTACAACATTTACTTACTCTTTACCTTAAGTCTAATAAATGCCCAAAAAAATTCCAAAAATCTATATGTTTTGAAATACCCTTCTCCAAAACTAATGATCCCCAACCTCTTTCAAAACAACCATTCTAAGAACCAGGAAAGATAATAAATAGGGGAAGATATCCTAGAGACTTGAAGCTTCATATAGTGTTATGCAAAATGCTTATAAAGACAATGGGTGGACGAACCTTGAACTATGCTATATATCCACACGCCTCCTGTATACCTCACATTTGCTCCCAAGAAAATGAGTTCTCCTTGAAAATCTCTTGTGTCGACACTTACAGGCTCAAAATCCTTTCACTAGTGCTCCAATTCCCATAAGAAGCAACCTAACTTCCACATTCATATAGGAAATCCATGGATGATGCCCTGTAACTCGACACCATTGCCTAGGCATTTCATCATCTAGACAAATGGACTCATACATGTTGTAGTTTATGGCACCATATAGCCAAAGAAGGGGAAAAAATATAATATTTTCATATAAGAGGAATTGTAGTGAATCATGCTTGCTACACAAATAACTTGTTTTCCCCTAGAACCTAGGACTTGGAATCTCCTCATCTACCAGGTAGGGTTACCATCAATTTGTGACTCGCCTTGAGTGGCCTTCAATCCCATCCCATAGTCAAACTCTCTCCTTGCAAGGCCCTTGGTTAATGGATCCATCAAGTTTTGGTTAGACTTACAAGGTTCGTAATAATTGCTCCACATTTTAGTAGTTGTCTCAACTAAATGTGCCTCCAGCTGATGTCTCAATTTTCCATTATAGATCTTATTCTTCACTACATAATAGATTATCACATCTTGAATAAGTGAACGTTTACCAACAAGTTCCTTAGTCACTCAGCTACTCTACTAATGACTTACAAGGAAATTAGCTTTGATTGCATTGTGGATCTAGAGGTAGATGTTTGCTTCTTGTATCCCCAAGCAACTGCAACCAACCAAAGGTGAAGATTCAACAACTAGCAGATTTGGATTCATCAGAATCCAATATCCAATTTGCATCATTTTCCCCTCTAGCACAGCAAGTTCGTCTACATAATATTGCCTAAATTTGTAGTCCCCTTGAGGTATAAGCATTCAAATGCTTTCGGCTTGCTAGTAAATCTATTTAGCATACCAATAGCATAGGTCCAAAATTTCCGCCAGTCAAACACACCCTTGGAGATGTGCGTGGGGTTAGGTTAGACCTCAGTGACCCTCTCTCTTCCCTTCTCTCAAAGTATCTCTCCTTCCTCTCTTTCTTTCTAATCAAGCCTTCAATCTCTCATTTGATTCTCTCCTCCCACTTACTCCTGGGTCGCTGCGGTAATCTTAACTTGTTACCGAAGACAAGGTTACTTCAACAGGTTTCTTTTGAAATTCTAAAGACGTGATCTAGCCATGTCAAGGTCACCAAAAGCCACATGGTCAGAAACTCTAGATCTGGAAAAGGTATGGAATATAAAAAAACCGTAGCTTTTTCCATTACTTCATTGAGTTATTGATGGGGGTTCAAAAACCGTAAATCTGATTGGTGTGGTTCGATGGTGTTGAAGTCAATGTTTGACCCCTTAAATGGATCAAATCCTTGTTTGCGATTTGTGAAACTCAATATTCTTCTGAATCTCTTGTATTGATGATCTCCCTGTTTGAGGTGTTTGTGAGTGACCTTCTATGTTGATCAGCAGGTCTCCTTGGTGGTCTTTTTGCTGTATTTTGGTCAATATGTTGAGTATGAGTGATTTTGGACACTTATACCTCCCCTAATAATCCAGGTGTAATCCCTATGTATCCATGGAGGTAGCTGCGGACTGCAAATGACTGCTACCAAACTTGATGGGACAAATTATTTGGCGTGGTCAGTCTGTAAAAATATGTTCATTGGTAGATGAGGGGAATTGGGTATATAAATGGTAAGATTATTGAAGCCCAAAAAATAGATTGCTCACATGAGAAGTAGGAAACTGAACATTTGACTGTAATGTCTTTAGCTATTACACTCCATGCAACCATCAATTAGCAAGGTTTTATGTTCCCTAAAACTGTGAGATTTGGAACTCTATTACTCTCAAAGCAAGAATGTGGCTCACTTCTACCAACTTAGTCAAGAAACTTCCAATCTTTGATAGGGGGAGAGGTCTCTTGCAACATATTCTTTACTTGATAACATGTAGGAGGATTTGGACCACTATCGGATGTTTAAACTGACATGTAAGGCTGATGCATAGAAATACAAAGAGTTGGTGGAACAAAATTTTTTAATTCTTAGCAGGATTGAACCCAGAGTTTGAATTAGCTAGGGTCCAAATACTCGGTAGGAATACTCTTCCATTGCTTAACCAGGTGTATGCCTTTGTCCAGAGTGATGATGAAAGTCGAAAAAGTGTCATGTTGCTTATCAAGTACTTAATCGATTTGCCCTTATTTAAGCCTCATTACGCCCTAAAAACAAGAAGGGGGCTAAAACTCAGGAATTTGGAAAAGGGGAGGAGACTCAAGGAGATAAAAGTAAGTTCAAGTGTGACCATTGTGGTAGAAATGGTTGTACTAAGGAAAATTGATGGGACCTGGTTGGTCGGCCTGTTATATTTAACTATCCAAGTTACAAGGCTTCATCTACTAGGAGTTCAGCTGCTGCTAGTATAGATCAGCCAGTACAACATGCATTCCAATCTTCAGTTTCTACTCCAAAGGAATTCATACCAGTACTAAAGAGGAGATTGAAAGTCTTCGCTGGTTGTTTACACTATCAGATGGCCCATCCACAACCTTTACTTCATCCTTTGCACACTCAAATACTCATGCTTCCGCTAATCATGTCTCCCTTGCTCTATCTAAAATAGTTTAGATTATTGACAGGAGCATTAGATCACATGAACAATATGTCATCCTTGTTTTCTTCATATTCTCTTTATTCTGGTAGAGGAAAAGCTAAGATTGTTGATAGGTCTTTTTCCTCTATTGCTTGTTCCTCCTCAAATTTCATTGCCACCCGTTCTTCATGTTCCCATCTTTGCTCCAAACCTAAAGTATATCAGCAACATTACCAAGAGTCTAAATTGCAGTGTGACATTATGTTTTTCAGGATCTGGATACAAGGAGGACAATTGACAATGATCATAAAGCTTGTGCTCTACATTCTAGACTCAAAAAGAACTAGCTCTCATGCGTTAAAATCCAATTCCAGTTTAATAAAGATCGGTTTGTTAGTGGCATCTCTAACTTTGCCATTTATCTTTTCACTCCTTAAAATTTTTGTTTCCTAAGTTGATTATTTTGCTACTATGTAGAAGTTTCAATGTGATATCTATGAGCTGTCAAAATATTATAGAATTATACACAACAAGCATTAATAAAAGCAAGGTTCCTTTTGTGATTGTTCATTCTGATTGTTTGGGGGCCTTCTCCTGTTACATGTTGTTTCAGGTTTTTCATAAGATGATTCGCACTCTGTTTGACTCTAAAATTAAGGTACTTCAATGAGATCAAGGTGGGGAGTATTATAATGGAGAGTTCCATTCCAATTTGGATGAGCATGGAATAATACATCAAAATTCTTGCACTTAAATATTCATAGAATCCTATTATTAATTTTGTTGTAGTTAGGATATAATTACTTCAGTATAATTATATTATTATAACATATTTGATTTGCTTCCAAATAACTACTAAATCATAATTTGGACTAACAGTGAATTTTTATCTGATACTTTAGATTATATAGCTATAATTTTATGCATAATATATTAAAAAATAAATTATTACTATGATAATAAAAATATTTTTAAACTATTTACATGTATTAGAGTGATATTAAACTAATTATAAATAACTACAATAATATTAATTAATAAAAAATATTCATTACCATAATCATAATTATATCACATTAGAAACTAATACTATTATATAGTATTTATATATGAAATGACTATAAATTTTAATATTACTTTTTGGTCTTGAATATAATTTTAGTTTAAATAACATATCACAAACATATTCAATGCATTATATTTTTAATTTTATTATATTCACAATTATTATATTATGTATTTGCAATACATTTGATTTGCTTCCAAATTTGCAATTATAGTCGGCGTCAAAAAAATTAGGAAATCCAAAATAGTAAACTCAAACTTTAACCTAATGTAGAATATTTATGTGATGATGTAAAATGAGAGTACCAATCTCAAAAAAAAAAACAACCCATCAACATATCACAAGCATGAATAAAAAAAAGGAGTTCAAAATAAAAAGTAGAAAAGACACACCTATTTTGAGTGATTAAAGAAAAGGAAAAAAAAGGGGAAAATGTACATATGAGAGATGATGATCTAGAGAGAGAAAGGAAGAGATAATAACCTTTCCTAAGACAGAGCAACCCAAGAGAGCCCAAAAGACAAAGGCACATGTTATATTTATTTATAATATCCTGTCTTCTTCCCCAAGCTGGATAAATTTCCTAATAAATCTCTAAAATATAGAAAATTAGGTTTTATGTAAAGGAAGACAAGAAAATAAAAAATCAGAGAAGAAAGACATCATGAGAGAGAGAATAAAGATAGAGAGAGGTTGGGATCTCTTCGTAGGAATCAAAATGTAGGGAAGTGTGTCTAATTAGATAGAATGGGCAAAAAGATGTATATTCGAAAAAATCAAGATGGAGAGGACAAAATTGAAAATAAAATCAATAAAATGAGTATAATAAATTATAATCAATAAGGCAAAATCAACTTTAGAAATGACACTTGTAGCAGGAATAAAGGGGCTCTCCTTCTCACTTGGTATATATACAAGGATCGATAGGTCGGCTCGGGCTCTAACCGAACCGAGTAACTAAGTTACCAACCAAAGAAAGGGATAAACTAAATAAATAAAATAAAGAATTATTTAAAGTAAAAGAAAAATTAAATTATAAAAAACATTAAAAATCCAAAAAGGATGGAATATATATATATATATATATATATACGGAAGAGACTACAAAATGCCTATGGGCAAAAATGAACAGTATTTTCGCACATAGACTTGGCACCGTCCGATTTTTTCGGACGGCGTGGATTAAAGACCATCACGGATATAGCATGTCCATGGCAGGATTTTTTTCATGCAAATTTGACACAAAATATACAGTAGGGACCGTCACGGCTCCCGTAGATCTGTGGCGATTTTTAAGCAAAACCGTCATGGACATAGCATGTCTGTGAGGGCAAAACACCATAGCAATTCGCGTATAGACGTGTTTAAGACATATATACATGATAGAATTTGGAAAAAAATTGATTTATATCTTGAAACAATTCAGAAAAATTAGCATATGATAAGAAAAATACACAATCATCATCTCAAACTCAAAATTACATATAAAAGATTTATATATCGATTTAGAAAAACCAATAATATTTTTCATAATTTTTTTTATAAAACTTAAGTTTGTAAATAGAAACTTGACTTGACAAGGTGCTGAGTCTGAGTAGCTCATCCAAGTCTAAATCAACTCGGCTGAGTTACCTGTAATTCCATCTGTGTAACAGAAGACATATCTAGGCAGAAATAGGCAACACATTTCCAATGGAAACAACTAGATTTCCTAACATCTCATGAAGAAAATTTATGGTACAGACACCTATTATTTACTGAACTAAGAACTATTTTCACAATCCAATAAAAAAGACACCTGCATGTTAAAAGTAACTTATCAAGGGATAGATATACAGTAGAAGCTAACTTTTGAAATAAACATGTACCATCATCTGGTGGTGCTGTGACATGATAAGGTATTGTGTCTTGAGGTTCTAAGACAATCAGATGTTCTGGTGCTCTGAAATGAAGTCCCAGCAGCAGGCTATAATCAATTATGCACTGTGATTCTAAGAACTTGCAGTCCAATGAGATTTGTCTGCACAAGATTCATTATATAATGATCACCATATAAACATCACCATAATTTTTGCAGTCCAATGATTTTTGCCCTCACAAGATTCATTATATAATGATTACCACATAAACATCACCTTAATCTAAGTGAAAAAACCATAGAACAAATCTTGTGTGTGATACATACTAAGAAAATAAGTGAACTTCAGGATTATCAGCATTCAACAGTCCACATACCTTTAACAAACTGAAGAACATATACATGTCTTCTACAAACTAAAATCCATCAAGCAAAACAAACATATCAAAAGAGACATAACTGATATTTTTACTTAAAAACCAGAGAAATAACACAGCAAAATTGACGAACAAACCATAGAATAACATGCAAAATTTGATGAAACATCAGCAGTAACTTTATAAGAAACACTATCATATTATGCACCAATTTGCACATGTTGATGTATCAGATTTTCTTTGTGCCTAAATTAGGGACAGAGGGAGGAGAATTTTATTAAGTTAACCAAAAGTGTACACATTATATACAAGTCTAGTGACTCAAAAGTTAAGAAATTATCCTAAAGGGGTAATGTATGCCCTCACATGGTCATGTGGCTCCACACCTTATCCTTCAAGGGAAAGGAATGGGGCGCCACTCCACCCCTACACCAAGCTGGAGAGGTGAAAGGATTGAAAAGTATGGAGTACTCTCTAGGGATTAAAGCAGCCGTGGAAACAAAAGACCTAAGCACAAGTGATAAATAAAAATGGAAATAAGATAGGAAAAGAACAAAAATCAACGCACAAAGCAAAATCTATCAAAAATAAGGAAGAATGGCAACAAAGGTGATATAGAAGAAGAAACTTGGCCGAACAAATCAACAAAACCAATAGATCACAAGTGATGCACTCTGGCATCAGCAACAAAAGCCAAATGCACCTTGCTATGCCCAATAAGGAGTGGTATGTGAGATTTCTAGGGTATAAGAAAAACCCACATGGCCCACACATACCAAGAAAGTTGAATTTGTTGCGACAAAAGTCCATCTTAGTTCAAACATTTTAAGAAATGCCAGGTACATCCTTCCTTTTGAAACATTTCAACTTATGACAAATGTGTCATCCCCTTTAAAACATTTTAACTGATGACAAACATGCCCACAGCAGTTTATGTGGTTTGTTCTCAGGATGCATTTAGATTTGATGCCTACTTCGATTGGACTTCACAAGCTTCATCGCCTTTTAAAACCTATACATGTGCAAGTACACAAACAACACACCCAGGACCATACCTCAATTCCAAAATTACTCTTTAAGGACTATGAGCCACAATGATGCTGACCATATATCCTCTCATCACAGGCCAATAGCCCTAATGCACAACTCTAAACAGAGGTGCATTAACCATGTTAAGGGTTTAAGACGTTGTCCTATTCAGTCTTTTACTTGTCACTAAGTTAACCAAACTACTTGTCACACACACACAAGGGTTGAAGCCCAAGTCTATGATAGTTAGTGTGGTCTTTATTGAGTAACCCCTCTAACTCTTCCACCAGCCCTCAAAGACAGCCTACCTCCTTCAACCCATGGAAATTCAAGCATACATTCATGGCATGTGGCCTACTAATTTTGCCCATCATCTTGCCAAGCCCCTCTATCCAAACAAGTTGTCTCAAATGGATTGTTGTCTTCCTCTTAGGCACCCCTATAATTAGGGAATGTCATTCATCGCTTCCCCATAAATGGGTATGCTTGTTAGAATGCAACGAAGGGCAATTTGGTAATTTATGTGAATTTAAGTGGTTTACATTGTAAAGTCATTTGCTGTAACGTATAAGGCAAAATCTGTCCGCACTCAAGATTAACATTATATATACTATAATACAAGAATTATGCCCTGGTGTGTGCCTCTTTTCTCTCCTCGAAGTTTTTTACGGTATCATAGCGAGGTTTGAATATGCCCTCAATGTGATCAACTTTAATCAAGGTTACACATATTTCCTTCTTCATGAAGATTCATCATGTCTTTCTCTTTTAACCCCTAATCTTTTTTTCTTCCTCTTTACCCTCTTTCCTAGAACCCAATGTTTCTCTCTCATTTCCTCCATATTAGGGGCACGTATTGTTCATATTATTGTTCATGCTTACTGTTCATACGACTGTTCTCTCTTTCAAATACTCATATCTCTTCATTCAATATAAAACCCCAGATCTGCTCTTCATAATGTATTTATTTCTTTGAAGAAAAAAATTCTCAACTGCTGTTCACCTTTTTGGTTCTTGAAATCTAGTCCAAAACCCTAACTTCTCTCCTCTCTCTTGCCCATCAAAAGTAAACTGCTGGTTTCTTTACCTTCTTTCTATTCCCTTGAAATCTCTTGCTCTTTTGCTCCTTCTTATTCTAGCTTTGTCGTCTTCTTCTAGTTCTATTGGTCTTCCTAGTCTTCAAACAAACCTATTAAAACTCAATGGCTCAAACTATTTTACTTGGAAAGGCTTACTTCTAACTTATATAAGATGCCAATGGTTATTGGGGCACATTGATGGTTCATCAAAGCCTTAAGCCTCCAATTAAGTTTCTTACAGAAGAAGAGATTAGTGAAGATGGAACAACTAAGAAATTTGTTAAATCCAATCCCGCTTACGATAATTGAATATCTAAGGACCAGAACCTCATCGATTGGATTTATTCCACCTTTTCAGAGGAACTTATTGTTCAAGTAATTAATTTACCAACTGCGGCAGCAGTATGGGAGTCCCTTCATTACTTATTTTCCCAAGACACAGAACCTAATTATGCATCTTCGAAGGGAACTTCATATTTGTAAAAGAAATAATACGTCAACCTTGGAATTTTGTAACAAGATAAAAGCCCTATGTGATGAGCTTGCTATAGTGGATGATCCTAAGAGGTCAAGGTCCATTATGTTTTGAGAGGTTTAGGGGATGATTATATAAAGTGTTTGTTTCGTCTATGATGATGAAGGGTGAAGTGGAGATGTGCAACTGGAATTTTATGTGATAACTGCATACCAACAAAGCTAAAAGGCAAGTTCTATAGAACAGCTGTGAGACCAGCTTTGCTCTATGGGGCAGAATGTTGGGCAGACAAAAAACATATACCCATATAATGAGTGTAGCGAAGATGAGGATGTTGAGATGGATGAGTGGCAAGATAAGAGGGACAGAATTCGAAATGAATTCATTCAAGAAAATTTAGTTTTGGCATCAATCAGCGATAAGATGATAAAGAGCAGACTTCAGTGGGCTGGCCATGTGTGGCGTCGAACCAATACAACTCATGTTCGGAGGTGCAAGCTAGTCCAAGTAGAAGGATTGAAAAGGACAAGGGGTAAACCCAAAAGGATGTGGTTGGAAGTAGTCCAAAAAGAAATGGGGACCTATGGCCTCACTGAGGGTATGACATTTTAAAAAGTAGAGTGGGGGACCAGGATTCGTGTAGCTGAATCCAAATAATTTGGAAAAAGCTATGATGATGATGAGAGAATTACGACCATTGTTGTTGCAACATGAAGCATTATCCAACCTCATACCCTCATTGGAAAAGTCTTCTACTACCAATTCTCATCCTGTTTTATTTTCAAAATAGTAATTCAAATAATATGCTGGAATTGAAATCATGGAGAGTTAGAGGATACAGAGGTAGAAGACGTGGAGGTCGAGGTGGACGAACTAATTTTACTCCTTATCAGAGTCGTGGTTTGCTACCTACCCCTTCAACAGGATCATTTGTCTCTTCAGATGATGTTGTTGTTTGCCATATATGTGGAACGAAGATTCATATAGCCATTAAGTACTTTGATCATTATGTTGCTACTCCAAAACATTCTCTAGAAAACTTAGCTATCACCTCACTCACAAAGGCAGGTTGGGTCGTGGATGGTGGTATTGCAAATCATATTCAAATGATAGAGGTATGTTCCTAATTGCTTACTCTGGTAATGGCTCTATAGTGATTGGTGATGGAACCTTCTTCAATACCACTCATGTAGGAAGTGTCACAATTCACTTCTCATGTGGTCCTATCTATTTCTCTAATGTTTCCTTTGTGCTTAAGATGTGTCACAATCATATTTCAGTTTCTTAGTTAGCACAAGAAAATTCTATTTCAGGTGTATTTATGCCCGATTTTACTTTTCTGAAGGAACAACAATTGGGGACGACGTGCACTTAAGGGTCTCGTCAGGGACAGCTTTATATTATCGAAGATCATGTCAAGAGGAAGATGCCATTGTTATTTTCTTATTTTCTTTTCTTAGTGTCAATAAAGATCCCAGTGTTTGGCATCATTGAGTAAATTATACAAAGATGTCTTAATTCCCTCTAATCTCAATATTCAATCTTTGTTTGTGTCATGGATATCAATTGGATAAACATGTGAAACTTCTATGTATGATTCATAATAAAAGAGCTTATGCTCCCCTTCAATCAATATATTCTGCTGTTTGGGATCCTGCTCTACAATCTTGTTCATTTGTTTCTTTATATCATGTTACATTTGCGGATGATTTATCTTGTTTCTCCAATATATTCTTTCTTAAGAAGAGACCCAATATGTTTCACATATTTACGAAATTTGAAATCTTTGTAAAAGTACTTCCAAAAATCTATAGTCTACATTTGTAGTGATTAAGGGAGAGATTTTTCATCCCATAACTTTAGAACCTATCAGGAGAATAATGGGCAAAACAACAAATATAATGAGCACAAACACATGAGAAAACTGGAGTAGCAGAGAGAAAACATAGGCATATCATTGAAGTTGCATTGCACATATTATTTATGAGTAGACTTCTTAAATTTATATGGACAAAAGCATTTCATACAGAAGTTTATCTCATCAATAGGTTGCTTATAAATGTTCCACATGGAAAATCACCTTAACAAGTTTTGCATGGGAAGGACCCCCATTATTCCACATTGCACTCTTTTCTATGTTATATACCTATGTTCATATTGACAAGAGTCAAAAATATAAGTTGTCCCCAAAGGCAAAAATTT